TCTGCCATATTGTTTTCCCCGGACCTTATTCTAATTCCAGTTCTTTCATTTATTACTTGTGTGACCTTTCTCAAGTCACTTAATACCTCTCCCACTTTATTTCACATGAGCTCTATGGTCTCTTCCTGCTCTAAATCTATGACTATTTCATTCTAAAAGGAAAAATTCTCACTGGAGAGCCAAATTGTTCCTTTCTAGGCTAACACATTTCCTGGTTAAGGGCAGAACATGACATTTACATTAGGTGCTCTGAGTCCCAAAGAAAAGAACTATTCTAATTCATAGCTCAAGCTCCATGGCAGCTGCAGTACACTCAATGAATATGATTTAGCATTTACCAACCCTATTCAGAGACTGGATCCTCAGCCCATGAAAGATACTTGGTGGTCTGGAACATAGGCCTTTTTAATTTTATTGACATCTACATAATTCTGCCCAGAGACAGGACAAAGAATGATTTTGGGAGAGATTATTTTTAAGGGTCCTTGGACCAGAATTTTACCACAAATCTGCTAAGATGGGTTTCAACTATAAAAAAAATTATAATTCATAAATAGGAATATATTAACAGAGTGTATCTACAACTCTAGAATCTGTTTTGAGGCATTATTTTAAAATTGTTCAGAAGGGAATTTGGGAGAGCTCAGGTGAATCCCTGCTTTTCCTCTACCAAGTTGGCTGTGCCTCCAATAATGGAAAGAACATTGAGTTTGGTGTCAGAGGACATGAGTTCAGATCTGGGTTTTGCTACTTACTACCTGTGTGACCTTGGATAAATAATTTAACCTCTTTGTGACTCAGTTTCTTCATATATAAACTAAAGGAGTTGCTTTAGATAGTTTCTAATGATCAATCCTGCCATCTCTTAATCTATAATTGAGAGACATTGTGGTACAGTAGAAAGAATGGTGGACTTGGAGTTGGAAGACACAGTTTTGAATACCAGATCTGTCCCTTACTACTTGTGTAAACATGGACAAGTAACTTTACCTCTCTGATATTCAGTTTCTCCACCTTTTGAGATGAGGGGCTTAAATCCAGTGGCCTCCAAGATTCCCTTCAGTTATAAATCTATTAATCTTCAATTCAGCACTTCTTAAACTGTTACTAGATCAACAGGTCCAAATCTGGGCTCAGCACCTGAAGATGTCACATTTGGAAAGCCTGGATAGATTATGTAAGTTTGGAATAAGAGGAAATGAGTTAAACTAATGCTTGAGAGAATTGGCTGGATATGTAGAATGGTACCTTGCCAACATGGATTTTCAAACATGATACTAGAGAAGGATAGTCATGGGATTGCCTTCTGTGCTTTTCATGCCTTTCGTAAGCACTTACTGAGCAGTATATTTTAATGTATAAAAAAAAAACCTGAATGGTTGTGTGCAGCATATTTCCTTATCTGTGAAATGGGGTAATACATTTCTTGCAGGGGAGATGTGCCTTAGCTAAATTGATTGAAGGGGAAAGCAACAAATGTTGGAGGGGATGTGGAAAAATTGGAACACATTCATTGTTAGTGGAATTGTGAACTTAGCTAACTGTTTTGGAGAGCAACCTGCACTGCCTGTACCCTTTGACCCAGCAATGTCACTATGTGGTCTAATTCCAAAGATGATAATTGAAAAAGGAAAAGAACCTATATGTTCTAAAATGTTTATACCAACTCTTTTGTGGTGGCAAAGAGCTGGTAATTGCAGGGATGCCCATTAATTGGGGAATGGCTAAACAAGTTGTATATGATTGTGATGGACTACTACTGTTCTATGAGAAATGTTGAGCTCAGTGTTCTTAGAAAAACATGGAAAGACTTGACACAATAATGAAGAATGAAATTAGCAGAACCAAGAGGACATTGTGTACAGTAACAGCAAAAGTATTTTAAGAATGACTTTAAGTGAATAAGTTATTCTGACTATTATAAATATCCACATTACCAATAAAGGAAATATAAAGAAAAATGCTATCTACATCTAGAGAAAGAACTGATAACTAGAAGTATATATAGAATAATGTTATACGTATATGGATATACATACATGTTATGTATAACATACTTGTTGCTTACACACACACACACACACACACACACACACACATACATATGTAATGATTGAAATCTCTAGGGCAGGTGCCCACAATGGGAAGCTCTTGGCATTTGTGGGGGTTTGGGGTAAAGGTTTTTTTTGTGAGAAAGAGGTGGCAAGGTGCTGAAATCAAACTTTGCCTGGATCACAGGGTTGCTGGGACTGAATCTATCCTGCAGGACATTTGGGAAATGTCCCAAGATTGAAGGAAGAGAAGTAATCTATGGTTCATGGAATAGAATAGAACTCTTGGGCCCAAGCAGGGGTGGGGCCCATCGCTTTATTCTCAGACACAGAACTCTAACCCCCAGACAATTAACTTAGGAATTGGTGGACATAAAAATGGTGGGTTTAGACACAGGAAAAGACTAGACACAGTTTTTACCACCCAGGAAGATATCAGTAAAGATGGCAGCATGACCTAATGGGAAGAGCCAGAAGACCGGGAATTTTGTTTTTGGTCCAGACACTTCTTGAATATAATACTCTTAATTAAATACCTTCCCTTGGCTAAGCATCAGATGTAGATGCAATTATCTGTAAGGTCCCCTGAAGTTCCACATTATATTATTGCAGGAAGTATCCTCATGAAAAAATGAAGACTAGAAAGTCATAGTCCTCCTCTTTTATACTTATACCTACTCTTCTACTCTTTTCTCTTATATCAATCATAGCATCTCCTCCTTAGTCATTTGGTCAATCAAGTTATTAAATTATTAAGTGCCTATTATGGGCTAGGGCCTAGTGGCTAGGCACTATGATAAGCATTGAAGAGAGAAGAAAGGGGAAAAAGAGGGTTTTCTCTCAAAGGCTCAATGTCTAATGAGGAATACAATAGGTATTCCTCCAAAAGCCTACACTCAGTCACCCAATTCTGTAAGAAATGCCTCCTGTTATCACTCTTCCAACAGGGGTTTCTAAAGATGGCTAGAAATAAGAACTTTCTCTCTTTCTTGGACTTATTTTCCCCTATCCTCCAATCTAACTCATAGATACGCCTTCACATAGACTCTCAGGCTTCTTGAACAGAAAACAGACTTGCCTATCCTGTGGGGAAGGTGCTTGGTTCAATAACAGCTGGTTTCTCCTCCTCAGTTTTGTGTCCCAGAAGTGACCATGGAAGAAGAGGGCTGGGGTTAGCAGAAGACAAGGACATAAAAAGTCCTTTGTTTCTGGGCAAAAATGGTACAGGGTCAAATGGGATGGACCAACCTTCCATCAAGTGGGTATGTCTCCCAGAAAGACAGCTCTCTCCCAGTTATCCCCAACAGTGTGGCATGTGAGGAAATGATTCCAAAGGTCATCCTCCTTTTCCTAAACATCACTTCATGCTTAAGTTCAGTTCCTTTCCAAGCCCTTGACTCAGTCACTGCTGGGAATGCTACAGACTTTGGGTTTCCATTTCCCTCCCAGACTACATACCACTGCAGAGAAGCCACCTTCCAGAGTGAACCACATGGCCCTAAGGCAGACATCAGAAGCTTAAAGGGGTAGAAGAGCAGAGTATTCGAAGACAAATACAGTGTTTTTATGAGAAAAAAACAGACAGTGAGAACAATACAAAAGAGGGTGATATATGTCTTCAAAGTGATCATAGAGGTTAGCTGCTCCAAGGCCCTCATTCTAGAGTGAGGCTCAGAGAGCAATGACTGGCCCATGGTCACACAAACCACAAATGCAGTAAGTGCAGAGGGAGGATTTGAAGCCAGATAGTCTAATTCCAAATCCAATGGACTTTCCTAGAGTGATAAACAGGGTAGTGTTGTCAGGACTCTGTCCAGGGTGCTGAACCTGGATGGTGCTTACAATATTTCTTTCTACTCCTTAGCACATAATATGAATAATTAGGAATACTTGATAATTAGGCTCCCTGATGATGGGCTGAGGTCAGATACTTCTCTACCTGCTGCCCACTCAAGTGTGCACTTTCTATGTGGCTTCTGTTGTGTACAGGTATAGAAATGCCTCCAGCACACTGTTTCTACTACACCACAGTGCCTCTCAGAATGGAGTCAAATAAGCCTCAACTAGGAAAGATTATTTGAAGATAATAACAATAAAATTTTTCAGTTTTTGCCATTACAACTCATATTTTATAGAAGGTAGGATTGACAAAGCACAAAAAAAGGGTCATTCAAATATCATCCCCAATAAATATTAGCAATTTTTTTTTCACGGGGCACCCACCTGCTTCCTGCTGCTTGATGTCCTGGTAAATCACTGTGCCTTTCATGTGTCACTCTTATGCATTTACCACTTCTTGTCTTGCAGTATAGTTATCTGGATATGGAGAGTCATTGAATAATAGTTCTACCCAACTCTCAACCTTGTAGAGGTGGGAATTAAGGCCAAGAGAAGAGTAGTGATATTTCCCAAGTCACACAGCAAGTTTTTGGCACAGCTGCATCTCATGACTCCTACTTCAGTGGCCTTTCATATCACCACACCATGTTTACCTCTCTTAATTTCTTCCCTGCTAAGCTATAACGTTGTTGAACGATTTTGTTTTACATATGCAAATGAGACATATGCAGGTAATCTCTAAGACCTCTTCCAGTTCTAGACCCTATGATCCTTCCCAGATTTTAACAGAGCATCTGTAAAAAAAAAAAAAGAATTTCATAAATGTTCGCTATTCTTACTTCTGAGCAGCTAGGTGCCACAGTGGATAGAGTGTTGGCCTTGGAGTCAAAATGAGCTGTGTTCAAATCCAGCTTCAGACTCTTACTAGCTCTGTGATCCTGGGGAAATCACTTATCCCTGTTTACTTCTGTTTCCTCATCTATACAACAAGTTGGACAAAGAACAAGAATACCACTCCAATATTTTTGCCAAGAAAACCCCAAATGGGGGTCACAAAAAACAATTTTTACATGGAGAAAACAGTCAAGATGAATAATGACTCACCCAGAACTACATCTCCTGGGTTACCCGGAGTCTATTGATGACTTTTTTGAAGGCAGCTTTCACCTCCTTGTTCCTCAAGCTGTAGATAAAAGGGTTCAGCATGGGGATGACAACTGTATAGAAGACAGACACCACCTTGTCCTCTTCCAGAGATTTATTTGAGTTACTGCACATATACATGAATGTGAGGGTCCCAAAGAAGAGCATCACAGCTGTGAGGTGGGAGGCACAAGTGGAGAAGGTCTTGGCTCTGCCTCCAACTGACTTGATATGCAGGATGGCCCTGATGATGAACAAATAGGATACAAGGATCACTACAGCATTGGCCAAAATCACAAAGTTCCCAAAGAAGAGAATCAGAATTTGGGTAGTGGTGGTATCACTGCATGAAAGCTCCAGCAGGGGTGGCAGATCACAGAAGAAGAAGTTGATCTGGTTGGGCCCACAGAAGGAAAGTGTGAATGTGCAGACTGTGCGAAGGATAGCTCCTGATAAACCACCACCATAGGCCCCTGCCACCAAGCCCCAACGGGTGCCCAGTGTCATGGCTGATGAGTACAGGAGAGGACTGCTAATGGCAACATAACGGTCATAGGCCATCACTGATAACAGGAAACACTCAGTGCCAGCACAGACTGTGAAAAAGAAGAACTGAGTAGCACAAGAGTTATAGGAGACACTCGTTCTGCCAATAATCAGTGTGACCAAGATCTGAGGGATGATGATTGAAGAGTAGCAGGCATCCAAGAGGGAGAGGTGGCTCAGGAAGAAGTACATGGGGGTGTGAAGATGGAAATCCAAGCGAATCAGTAGGACCATGCCCATGTTGCCCAGCAGGGTGATGAGATAGAAACTGAGAAATATCAGGAAGAGAATAACTCCCAAATTAGGATGGTCAGTGAAGCCAATGAGAACGAACTCTGTCACAGTGGAATGATTCTGCTCAGCCATTGACTCCACTATTGCCTGATTGGGTAAGGGAGAAAATGGCATTAAAGATCCTGGATCTGGCAGGCCATGACAATCAATCTTGCTGGGAAGGAAACTGAATGAGGGGTTAAGAGAAACTTTAAGGAAAAGGGTAATTATCTCATATCACACTAGGCAGGGTGAAAGTATATCTATGATTATTGAAAACATTGTCATAGGGTGTGGGAAGGCTAGGGTGATCACAAGTGGGAGTAGAGATGGAGTTCTTAGTCAGGAATTGATCTAGCCAAAACCAAATAATGAGATTGCAATAATGATAGCAACAAGAACAACACGGGGCAGCTAGGTGGCACAGTGGATAGAGCACTGCCCTGAAGTCAGGAAGACCTGAGTTCAAATCCAACCTCAGATCAAATACTTGACACTTACTAGCTATGTGTCCCTGGGCAAGTCACTTAACTCTAATTCCAAGAAAAAAAAAGAACAACAACAACAATTATAACACACTTACTAAGTGCCAGGCACTGTGCTAAGTGCTTCACAGTCATTATTTTATTGGAGCTTCACAACAACCCTAAGAGGTAAGTGCTGTTATTATCCTCATTTTACAGATGAGGATTCTAAGGCAAACAAGTTAAGTGACTTCCCCAGAATCAAACAGCTAGTTAGTGTCTGAAGCTGGATTTGAACTCATGTCTTCCTGCCTGCAGCCATCTGCAGCCCAGTTTATATTTAGTGTTAAAAAAAATCTAAAAGACTAAGACAGTCAGGAAGATTGATTCCGGTAGCAGGACATTCAGGCTGAAAAGTCATAAAGGAATCAAGAGACAAAATACGGAGCACAGTAAAGGAGCTGACCATTTGTTTGATAGTGTGGAATAAAGGGACATGAATTTAGAGAGAGGGGGATCTATTTTCCTGTAGAAGACAATCCTAAAGGCAATGAATAGCAGTTAAAGAGAGCAAGATTTCAGTCTTTTAAGAAAAAGGTTCCAAGAAGTATGACCCCCCTGAAGTGCCTTGAGGAAATAGAGCCCAATCACTGGTTGTCTCTAATTCCAATGCTGGAAGACTACCTAAGAGGAGATGCCTGTTCAGATAAGAACTGCATCAGATGACATTTGAGATCCATTCCATCTCTGAGATTCTACATGATTCTAAAAGGATGCCGACACTGAGGGCTTAATTACCAGACAGACATACAATTTGGAAGACCAATTTGCCTCATTATTCTGCCTGCTTAATTACTTGAACACCTTGAGTGCAATGATTTTATTTTGTCTTTCTTGTTTCCCCAGCACCTAGCACCATGAGTGACATCTAGTAGTCACTTAATAAATACGAGTTGGTTGATTGTTTGACCATATGGTAGCTAGAGTTTCTGCACAGAAAATAATCCCATATTTCTGAAGGAAATGACTTTAAATATTCTAGTGCAAATTTATAATTTCATCACTCTGGGTTATCTCCATTGGATCTTGCTTTACTCCTCATAATGAACTTGCATTCTAAGGATCAGACACATGTATGCAAGTGTGTCCTCATGTACACATTATTCATAATGTTTACAAAAGATACTGTCACCACAATTACTGACTCTCCCCTATATTTTATCATCCCTCTGGCATCAATGTAGGATTTACAATACCTGTGCTGGTAAATAATCTTTTCTCAAGTTCCTGCAAGGTGGAAGGATTCCTTTGTAAGACACTACATGTATTTCCTCAAATCTTCTCAATAACAAAATGGTCCACGGAGATCAATGCCATAGAGGATTAGAAGTCACAAGAGATGTAATTATTCATTTTCCCTTTTCCATTGAATTACTGAAATCCAGATTCTGAAGAGCTTTCCCACAAGTTTACAGGCTAAGATGGCAGACCTGGCTGTTACTTTGGATACATATGATTTCAGATGATGTATCAGTGGGGTGATTCACCAACAACTTTGTCTGAATTGTTTAGTCAAACAACGAATGGGATTGATTTGTCCTCTCTGAATTTAAGAGGCATGTGTCTGCATGATCCACCATGGTCCAGGTGAAAGTCAGAGTGGCAGTAACAGCTTGCCTTGCTATATAGAGCAAAGGGGTGTTGCAATTACCTCTCATGATGGCTGTGGGCTAGTGGTTTGAAGCCCATACCTTTGCTACTAAATCCCAGAGAAGTATAACAGATAGACTCCCAATCTAAGGAAAAGGGGAGCAGAACCTCAAATCCAAGGGACAACTCATCAAGGAATTCATTATCTCCTCCTCTCCACAACAGAGGAAGGAATCTACATCTTGAGAAATCACGAGGCTCAGGGGAGCTGGTGGCAGCATGTTCCTGATGTTACTTCTGTGAGGTGCTCTGTGGCCCATGAGAAATGCAGCTTTGTCAATGCTTCAGAGATTGCACCACTGATCTCACCAATACAATCAGGACAGCCTGTCCTGGATGAACAGCACCTGAGCAAGGAAGCTAAGGCACATCTCCACAGCAAGAAATGTATTGCCCCATTTCACAGATAAAGAAATATGTTCCGAATAACTCACACACAATCAGTCAGTGTTCTTTCAATTAAAATACACTGCCTCAGTAAGTTCTTAGTAAAGGCCTGAAAAGTACAGAAGGCAATCCCATAACCATCCTTCCCTAGCACCACATCTGAAAACCCATGTTGGCAAGGTACCATTCTTCATATCTAGTCAACTCTCTCGAGCTTTAATTTAATTCATTTCCTCTTGTTCCAAGCTTATGTAATCTATCCAGGCTTTCCAAATGTAATGTCTTCAGGTGCTGAGCCAAGATTTGGACTTGTTGATCTAGTAACAGTTTTCAAAGTCCTGAATTGAAGATTCAAAGATTTATAACTGAAGGGAACCTTGGAGGCCACTGGATCTAAACCCATAATATCAAAAGTTGGATAAACTGAATATCAGAGAGGTAAAGTTACTTGTCCATGGTCACACAAGTAGTAAGGGACAGACCTATTATTCAAAACTATGTCTTAAAAAAACTATGTATTCCCACTACCATTCTTTCCACTGTAACACAATATCTCTCAATCATTGATTAAGAGCTGGCAAAATAAGTCATCTGGGGTCATCTAGTTCAATTAGTTTTTTTTGTTTTGCAGATGAAGAAACTGAGCGAGAAAGAGGTTAAATGATATATCCAAGGTCAAACTAGAAGTACATAGCAAAACACAGATCTGAACCCAAATCCTCTGACACTGCATTTAATGTTCCTTCCATTGTTTTGGGGCAGAGCCACAATGGTGGAGTAAAGGCAGGAGCTTATCTGAGCTCTCCTAAATTCCTCTCTGAACAACCTTAAAATAATCCCTCAAAATGAATTCTGCAGCTACCTATCCATTATGCCAATATGCTCCTATTTATCTATTATAATTTTTTATTTGAAACTCATCTTTGCAGATTTATGGTAAAATTGTGATCCTCTGGTGCCTTAGAAATAATTCCTCTCAAAGATATTCTTTGTCTTGTGTCTGGGAAGAACTATGTAGATGCAGATAAAATGGAATACCTCAGTCCAGGTTATAATTCTTTGGTAATCTAAAGCTGAGCTTAGACATTAGCCCCTAAGGAACCAAACTTTAAGGCTCTTCTTCCGAAGCAGCTTTCTTTCAATTCTACAATTTCAATTCAGAATGCTTCCTCAGGAAGATAGAATGGGGAAGTGGAAAGTACAGCAGATTGAGTCACAGAATCATAAATTTAGAGCTAAAAGGGAATATAAAAGCCACAATATTCAAGCCCTTCATTTTATAGGTGAGGAAAACCGAGAGTTAGAGAAGCTAAGTAATTTTCCCAATCATAAACTGAGTGTTACCAGCAGGATTCAAACCTAAGTCCTCTGGACAGAATGTCTAATGCTCTATCCAAGACCTGAGCTAAAATTCTTTATTTACCACTTATTACACATGGTGCCAAGGACAGCTCACTTAAGTTCTTGGAGCACAATTTTCTCATTTGTCAAATGAGCATAGTAACTCTTGCACTAACTTCCTCACAGGGTCGCCTTAAGGAAAGAATTTTTTAAAACTTTAAATCACCATGTAAATGTGAGCTATTATTATCTAACTAGGTCCCTTAGAGCTAATTTTCTAATGGGCTACCTTGTAACAATGAGGCATCTATGATGGAGAAATGGAAAAAAATAAATAGCTTTCACGGCATCTCCCCTGAAGACAATATTTTAAAAGCTTGATTAATTTTCTTCATTCTTATATATTAGCGACTGTCTAATATGTTCCCTTAATACCTGTTTTAGCCTCCCATCAGGGTTATTATGAGAATCAAATGAAATAATATCTGTAAAGTGCTTAGCATAGGACCTGGAACTTAGCAGGTGTTTAGTAAATACTTGTTCTACTAAAAAATTACTTGAAATTATTAATGACTTTAGCTAACTGGCAGGACGTAAGTAAAGCCACATAAATCATCAGAATTTCTACATATTACCAACAAAGTCTAGCAGCAAGAGATAGAAAGAGAGCTTCCATTTAAAATAACTGTAGACAATATAAAATACCTGGGAGTCTACCTGTCAAGGCAAACCCAGGAACTATATGAACACAACTATAAAACATTTTTCACACAAATAAAGCCAGACCTAAACAATTGGGAAAGTGTTATTTGCTGATCGGTAGGCTGAGCCAATATAATAAAAATAATTAATTCTGCCCAAATTAATGTATTTTTCAGTCCCATACCCATCAAATTATCAAAAAGTTATTTTATAGAGCTAGAAACAATAATAACAAAACTAATCTCAAAGAACAAAACCTGAACAATATCAAGGGAATGAATGGAAAAAATGTGAAAGAAGGTGGTCTAGCCATATCAGACCTCAAACTTATTATAAAGCAGTAATTTATCAAAAACAATCTGATACTGGCTAAGCAGTAGAGTGGTAGATCAGTAGAATAGATTAGGTATAAATTACATTAAATGACCATAGTAATCTAGTATGTGGTAAACACAACAATCCAAGCTTCTGCAACAAAAACTGATTATCTAACAAAAATTGTTTGGAAAACTGAAAACAGTTTGGCAGAAATTA